ACGTCGTTGCCAAGCGACGAAAACCCAACCCCGATGGTAAACACCAGGGAGAAGGGGGGCTTGTTCTACAACGTCGTTGCCAAGCGACGAAAACTCAACCCTGACGGCAAACACCGGGGGGGTTCGTGGGAAGGGGCTCTGATTTCTATATAGAGAAGTAACCCCGGGTACACCAGGGTGGGTTTTCACCATTTTCAGGGTACACTTGGAAATCAACACGACACCAATCTCCGACATCCGCCGTAGATCGCGGCCCCTCTCCGTGTCCTGTGTCCTGTGCCTCGGAAGCATGACGCACGAGGTAGGTCGTGCCGGTTTTTCTCTTTTTTCATGCCTCTCTCTCTCTCTGTGCCTCCCTCTCTCTCTCTCTGTGTGCTGTTACTGATCAGTACCACACCGGAGTACTCGCGCGTCAAGCGAGTCCGACCCTCTGTGAGGGGCCGGTATTCTATGGAGGCGGTGCCCATGAAGGATAAAACAACAAGAGTTGTTGGCGGTTTGGTTGTGGTTATGTATGTGCGTTACACGGTATGTGCAGGACACGGTTTTCCCTGCATGATTTGTGCTAGAGCGTCGGGCGCCGGGATTTTATGACCACTTCTGGGTACAAATCGACCTCTTCCGGGTACACCAGTAAGCAATATCGGTCACACCAGTGGGTCCTTATTCCAGCGGAAGTTGTACCCGATGGAGGTTTCCTAAGAAATGGATCCATTGGTTTTTCGGTCAATCAGCTGACAGCCTGGGGGTGCAAGCGTGTTGATTTCTAACTGTACCCTAAAGTGGTGATAAAGTACCCGGGTATACCCGTTTGTGGTGATTGGTCCTATGTGTAATTGCCTGAGGGGCACCGTATTTACGGTAGGGGAGGTCATGGCTTACGTTTGTGAACGAAGCCCTCTATACGTATTCCAATGTAAAACAAAAAATGGAAATAGTTCTCCCCGGGCTTTGTGCCCGGAACTTGTTTTGACGTACACCCTTACCCTTGTCCCTTTTTCTGTTCGTCTCGCCTTTGAGCCAGCACGAAATGTACCGGGTTGATTGTGGCAGTCAATCGTATAGGCCGGTAGCTCATGCGCCTTGGCCGTGACTCACGCAGCACCCACTCGGCCTACGTCGTGTCGGGAACGGCCTGGCTGTTCGTCTTTTCCGCAGGCGTTCATGGACGAGTTCAGGTGTGTGCCTCAGCAGCTGTCGTTGGCGAAGCTCGTAGGGGAAGTTCAACATCCTCATCGCCAAGTACCCGCAGACGGAGAAGTACACCCGTGTGGCATACGACGACCGCGCACGGTGGGCGGAACACGTGTCGCCTCTGGCATTCTCTGTGGGTTTGAGGACGACATCAAGAGTTGAAGGTGCGTTCAAGGGTCATCTGCCATGAGCGTCTTGGTCGAGAAGCACAGCACGTACGTGTAGTGTTGTCTTTGTTCTTTTCGGGATATGTTGAGCGATTTTTGGTGTTGGGGGGCGCTATCCTGCTTGAGTGGCCCCATGTACTCTGACATCTGTGTGTTGCTTGTTGACCAATTTGTCGTACGCCGTCAGTGCATACCAAGGGTATATCTACTCTAGTTGCTGCGAATGGTTACCACCTCTTCGAAACTTGTGGCTTTTGTTCGGATGATGTTGTTCCAGCATTGATGAACGGCCATCCGGGGTTCACGAAGGAGCCGTCATGCGGGAAAGACGGCAGCAAGAAGGCGGAGGTCTGCTCTCAGCACGTACAACGCGGCATGATCAACCTCGTGAGCAAGAAGTGGGGCCATAGAGGTTTCAAACGTGGCGGGCCTATGGAAACGACGGCAGCAAGCCGGAGGTCTGCTCTCAGCACAGCGAGGGAGGAATGGCGATGTCCGGCATGCGGCATGCGGATCGCCAGGAATAGCACTAAGACGTGTTGCCGCATGTGTGGTCTCGTTCCGTTCCGAAAGGTCTTTGTGTGGTTAGGGGTCCGTTATGATTGACCTTGCTACATATGTGCGCTACGTACATGGCTCGCTTGGCAACGGGATTCTTAACGAAGTGTTGCCATCGTCAGAACGTCCGGTCAGTCTTGACAAACAGTTTCTTTCACGTGCCTGGTGTCTAAGTGCATGTAGCCGTACTTGTTTCGCCTTTGATTTCGTCGGCTTGTACACGCTATGCATTTAAGCAGGGGTTACGCCAGGTGTACTACATACCATCGTGTACCTGGGATCATTGTTGGAAGTGAACCTCGAGGGAACAACCTGAAGTTGAGGTCATACAACCAGGGGGCAACGAGGCAGGCGCGTCGTCCTTGCATAAAAAATCAAATTGCAGATTTCTATTTTCACAGCGAGCTCAAAAGACAGTTGTTGGTGATGTAACGGTGACGCCCGAAACAGTTGCGCTTTTTCATGGAAGCCATATTGGCTTCTCTCGTTCGACGCTGGTAGGGAAACTCCGATTTTCTGTCGGCGGTGGAAGCATCGTCGTGTGAAACGTGCTGCAAATAAAGCAACTCCTCCTTAGGAAGTGCCCTATCCACGAGCTACTGGACTGATTCGCTGTAAGTGGTATGAGTCCGGATTGTTGATGCCGTGATCTGTTGGGGTGGGGACGATGGTTAAAGCTTGATCCTGAAAAGAAATATGTGCACCTAGGTGAAGGATCGACGCCCTGTCCCTCGACGGGCCTGCCGGCCAGAATGTGGTGCAGATGAAGATAGGCAGTAGATGATGGGGGCCGGGGCATGTAGCTCATTGTTGTGCTCGAGAACAACTTCCAAAGGTTGACCTCCGTGCACCTATCTGCCTGGACCAGAGCTATGGCTGCTTTTACGACCACACCTGTTCTGGTTGTAGACCCGCATACTGCTTAGTGGTTGTGAGAACTCGGTTAGGGCACTCCTGAGGTAAATTATACTCTTGCCCTAGGACCATTCGATCGTTTTTTGTATGTATTGGGGGTTCGGGTAAGACACCAACTCTGAAGGCAGCGGTTCCACTGATGCGCGGTCGCGCAAGCTGCGGTTGGCGCGACCATACACCTGTATCTCATCCCGAGGCGTCACGCCATTATTTGATCACGCTAGCAGCAGATGCAAGGCGGTCTCACAGGTATTTCTCTCCTATCTGTTGTTTTTCCGTATTCACGGTAAGGAGATGTACAATGATCGGCTGTATGCAGGTCAGTCGCCTTCATCCGTTTTCGAATCGAATTTGAAATGGCTTGCCCCCCTCGAATGAGGTCGTGTAAAAAATCGTTAGCTTGGTGTACAGGCTCGTAGGATCGACGTTGGTGGTCCACGCCGAACGTGCAGTATTCCAGCTTGCGGCGTGCTAAGTTTTGGTGGCTACGAGGGAGAGCAGATGTTGCAGTTTATTGACTAGGTGCTCTGAGTGGGTCTGGACAAAAATGTAGTATGGTTGTCCGAGAGGGTGCCAGGCCCGGGACACGTGTCGGTTCGACGGCTGTTGGCGATGGGTGACGAGCACAGTGTGTATGTAGGCGGTACTGCGAGGGGTAGGTGGAAAAGGCCGTAAACAAGTTGTCGACTCTAACAAGAGGCAGGTTTCCAGAGG